GACACACAGGTGAAAGGAGGCTGTGGAGAATGGGACACACAGGTGAAAGAAGGCTGTGGAGAATGGCACACACAGGTGAAGGGAAGCTGTGGAGAATGGTGCACACAGGTGAAACTGCATACAGAAGTAGAGGCCAGGACAGCAACCAAGTGTTTCAAGAAAGGGTGGTGTGGGTTTTACATTCTAAGGTCACTTGCAGCTCTTATGACAGCAATGGCATGATGGAATGGAAGAATGGGAAGCATTCAGACCAGTTAGAAGACTATCAGAGTGCACAATATAGGACAGGTGGCATGTGGATCAGAATGGCTGCAGAAGACAGAGGGGTCACTGGCGGCATGACTTGGTTTTAAATCAAAGAATCTGTTTATGGTTTGAATACAGGGTCTAAGTAAACAGGATGATTCTGGCAACTCTGGTTTAGCTTGAGCATGAGATAGAGCATGAGATGCTATTTACTCAGAGGTTTAGCTTGAGCATGAGATGCTATTTACTCAGAGGAAAAGAAGAGAGGCTGGGCAGGTGATAGCAAGGTTGAGAAATGTGTGGCAACTAAGAGGAGATGGCTAACTTCTTACTCAGTTTATGCTCAGAACAGTTTGAACCACAAAGATAAACTGAAGTCATCATCATTAAGGAAACATTTATAGCAATGAGAAGAGAGGAAATTCCTTACAGAAAGTATAGTACCAACAGAGAAAGGCCTGGACCAAAGCTCACTAGCAGTGAAGGACCCAATAATGTAGTAAGGAATCCCTGAAATCCCAACAGTTGGGAAACAGAGGCAGGATGATCAGGAGTATAAGACCACCCTGGGCTATATAAGACCCTGTCTCAAAAACAAAGCAAACAAAATACACACATATACTGAAGTTAAAGATTTAAATCAGTATGTTAAATAGAAAACTAAATACAAAAAAACAAAAGAGAGAGAAACTGAACTTTAGAGATGGGGGAAAAAGTATCACAAATAAAGCATGGAGACAAAAAGAAGGAAAAACTGACATGGAAGACAGACTGAGACAGTCTAACATGTATCCAATCAAAGTTCCACAAGAAAAAAAGACTGACAGAGAAAAAGTAATTCACTAAAAGATAGTGGCTGAAAAGTGTCAAAATTGATACAAAATAGTAACCAGGAGAGGGCATTAAGGTAAGGTGCTTGCTATCTCAACAATGTGGAGAGTGACCATGACATCAACCTCTGGCCTACATGTACACACATGCACAAAGACCTGCTAGTGTGCAAATTCACAAACATATGCACCACATACCCCAGCCCTATCCAAGCACAACTCTCCCTTGTGTGTGTACACGAATACAAAATATTAACCACTAGATTCAGAAATCCAATGAATCTGCAACAAAGGAAACAATAAGAATATATTTCTTTCTGTTTGTTCATTTTGTTTGTTTGTTTGTTTGTTTGTTTTGTGACAGGGTTTCTCTATGCAGCCCTGGTTGTCCTGGAACTGGATATGCTCAGGCTGGCCTCAAACTCACGCAGATTCACCTGCCTCTGGGATTAAAGGCATATGTCACCACTACCCAACTAAGAATATCTTGATCAGCCATGTGAGAGGTACAAAGATAAGCACCAAGGAAGAAGAGTCTAAAAACAAAGCCAGTGAAGAAAGATGCATTTCTCATAAAGAATCAGTCCAGCAGCCAACTTCTGAACCAGGCCAATTAAAGCCACTGCAATAATTCATTACTCTGATAAAAATAACTATTAGCACAAAATTAAGACCCATGAAAACATTAAGAAGGGTGAAGTAAAGGTTCAGGCCATTAGAAAACCAAGTCAATCACTAATGGACACTTAGCTACAGCATATTTTACAAGTGAGCTACCTCTTTTTTAGGGTTAAAAAACTTCAGGAAAGGATTGGGAGATTGCACACTTAAGATAGTTAAGGCAGGAATTAAAAGTTGTAGGAAGCACAGAAAACAAGCTAAGGTTTATTATGTATTGCCCAGAGGAGAATAAAGGTAATGATATTCAGGTTTTGTTTAGGTAGTAAGCTAAAAGTTTAGGGTAGCCACTGTGAATAGGGGGTGGAGGAGACGACACCTGGAATCTTTCATAAGGATTGGGTGTGAAGGGAATCCATGCTGAAGCTACAAAGGATGTGATATAAAGGGCAGAGCATTCAGAGATGGAAAACACCAGGGCATGCTGAATGACAATAACCCAACAGTGAGGGAAATACTAAAGACACCAAAGAAGGCATAGGAACTTGAAAGAGCAAATGCTGGAGAAAGCAGGACAGGAGGCCAGGGCCTTGACGGGAGACATAATTCCCCTAGGGGAAAAAGAGGGAAAATAAAGACTGAACTTTTCTGGTCTCAGTAGTACAAAGACGTGAGGAGAGTAAATGTCTGCTGTGTACTTACCTGCAGTAAACCACTAAGTGCAGTGGCTTTCATACACATTTGTCATGTAACACAACAAATGTGAAGAAAAGATTTTAGTACTTAGGGAAAGTATACAGTGTAAGTTTAAATTTCATGACTACACAAAATTCTTCTTATACCTTGGTACATGGCCCTGGAGAAGTACTCAATTTCTCATGTGTGAAAAGAGACTAAAATAGTACCTAACTCATAAGATGACTGTGAGATTAAATTCACCATCCTTGCCACTCAGTGGTAGGACTGTGTTCAAAGCAGCACATACTAACCAATCCCTCCTCCATGTTCTACACAAAGGACAGAATTATACCAAATGTTTATTTTACTGTAACTTTTTGTTTTATGTTTCCTCCACTATACTACTGTAATGTACATTATACTGGTAAACTGTTATGCTTTAAGCTTATTGAAAGCTGACTCTGGGAACAAGGAAGCTCTCTCATCTCCTCCAGAGTTTCCTGTCCTGGAGCAGACTGGTTCTTTCACTTTGTAAGATGGACAAACAGCAAGCAACTAACGGTATTAAAATCATTGTGTCCTTGAGAACAACTTGAGAAACTGGAAACTACTTCCAGTCCAGATTACTACTGTCTATCCTACAGCATAAAAACACCTGTATTAGGACAGAGGTGAAAAGCTCACCTGTGGAGATGAGCTCTATCCAGCCCGGGACTTGTAATCAGGAACCCCTCATAACTGTTTCAAGGTTTTCCCAGTCAGTTTCTGCTGGTGATTGTAAATGGCTGATTCCCTATTTCTTCTTTTACTTGGAAGCCTCACCTGAACAGATACTCTGCTCTGCCTAGGACACTGCACTGGAAACTCCAGCTGGCTGCCTCAACGAGGGCTTCCTCAGTGGATCTCTGCTAGATGTCTACAAGCCCTGGTTTGATGTCACCTTTTGTTTGTTCTCTCAATTGGGTTACTCCAGTTATCACTGATGTAAGTGCCCAATTTGATAATGTTTTGCAATCTGCTATTCCCTATGAATTATTTTACTTTTGTTTGCTATATACTTAAAAACTCAATCATTCAAAACTGAAAGAAAAGATATCAAAGATAGTTTTTTATACTGTATAGAACAATCATGAGCCAAGAATTACATAATATTACACTTTTTGATAAAGGCAAGGAGTACTGGTACATTATCTTCCAAACCTAGACTAACCCCAGATAAACAGGGAGTGGTCAATTAATAACTGTTAAAATCAAACTTCTATTGTATTAGGATAATAGATACCTTTCCTAAAAACTAAAACTGACTTCTTTCCACTGTTCCTTAAAAATCAGTGTTTGAATTAGAGGACTGTTTAGATTATGCACTTCTTGTGGGTATAATGTTACTGCCACACTGTAGATCTTTCTATATCAAATAGATACTGGATCTGGAACTGTAAGAACAAAAGTTTCAATGTTTGTGGTGTTCGAAAAAAAAATTCTAGATAACACTATGACTAGTTTTACTGTTTTTTAGGTAAAATTAGTTATTTCAAGCAATTTCAAATGCTCTACTCTCTCAAATACCTCTAGGAAACTAGGACATCAATTAAACTGTGGTTCTGATAATCCAGTATGTAGGGCACTGAAGTAATTTCTCTCACCAAATATAAATTTCAGATAAAAAAAATTCCTCATAACATTACTTAACAGCGCCAGGAAAAAATAAGTCATTTTAAAGAATTTTTAGTCCAGAAACCACACAGAATATATATCCTTTATTTTTAGGTGATTTTAACTCTTCTATATAAATTGTCAGTTTTGTAGCACAGAAAAAATTTCAATATATTTATGGACAAACGATGAAAAAGAACTGCATTTACCTTTTGGAAAGTAGATACAGGTGAAATAGCAAACATATTTCCCTCTCCAAACACCTCTGCCCAATTCCTCTGAGACACTTTCATTCTGTTTTTAAAGTGGTATTCATTATCAGGATTGAAAGCCTAGATTGAAAAAGAACAGAGACACATTACCTATTTTTATAGCAACATATTAACATTAGAAAAGAAGATAAAAATATAGCCTTTGTTTCTTCCTCTAATGGAACTGTTGCAGAACACTGGCAAAACTCAGGCTTTGGTTAGTTCAAGAGCAAAGGACTGGTGTGGTGCTACCCTGCCTTGCTGGTGCCATGTTGAGGGAAATGGAGCTAGCAGGGTGAGAAGTCTGGTTTCAGGATAGGCAACACCAGTGGCAAGAGCTGCCTCAGGTATAGCCAGATGACAGAAGTGGAGACCATGAAATTGAGGAGAAAGACAAGAGCTAAAGAAAAGACAGAACCCTCTGTAAATGTGTTTAGGATGGGAATAATCAGAGTCATCAGAGAAAGCTTCTGAACATCTATTAAAAGTAGATAAGTATTTCTTCTAAACATGATGGCTGCTCTGCTTTTAAACTAAAAGGCAAGGACTCTTTGATGGCTAATGTTTTATTTTTCATGATAAAATGTTTATCATTTGTTATTCATTACAAGTGCAAGAATAGCAAATTATCTTCAATTAAGTCAAAACAAAGAGAGTAGCACTTCATTTTCAAGATACTATACCATTGTAAGCACTCCTAGGAGACCAATAGGAATTGGATCCTGTTTTATTCTCTCTGCAACCAATTCTATTAGTAGCATCAACATGTTGTAGATTCCTTCATGAATTTCAGTACCCCACTTGTGAACAGCACTTGATGTCAGGAGCTACAAAAACAAAGAGGAATCTAGAGTCTAACTTGGAAAATAGATAATAAACACACACTGTACAAAGTAAATTTCAAATAACCAAAAACTTATGATCAAAATACCCTTTTGAATGCAGATGGCTTTAAGACCAGTAACTGCAATCCAGCTTCTTTGGTATCTCAGATTCAATACCCAAAGTTTTGTTTAGAGCTTTAATTTCTTTATATCAAAGCAGTTTTTTTTTAAAGCGATTGTTTTTCAAGGTCTCTCTATGTAGTCCTGGCCGTCCTGGAACTCACTGTGTGGACCATGCTGGTCTCAAAAGTCAAACAGATCTGCCTGCCGTTGCCTCTGCCTCCTGAGTGCTGGAACTAAAGATGCCAAGCCTACACCCAGCATTAAAAACATAATTTTTAATTTGCTCTTCTGTTCTTCGTTATTATTTCAAAAGACCAAGAACACTGAGCAAGCAGAAACTTAACATCTACTATGGAAACTACTGGTTCCTAATTGTTGTGGCCTTCAACAGAGTTATTAAATTATCAGAGACATTGTTTTTGTTATTATATTACAAATAATAAAAATATCTCTAATGAGGGATGATTTCTGTTCATCTCACTCAGATGTCACAGAGATCAAAAGATACAACAAACATGGAAGCATTTCTAAATGTAAGCATTATTAATATATGTTGATAACTGTCAACATTAATCAGTAAGTCTGGAATCTAAGATATAGATGATGTGTTTCAAGGATTCATACATACTATCAAGTTTTTCACATCTCAGAAAAAGGACTCCATCTTCCCACTGGTTGGCTAAACAAGAACTTTCAACGTGAACCAATTTATAAATAACTAATATACTGTGCCTTTATTTTCCTTTTTGGTATGTATAAAAGTAATAGGTAATTTTTTAAATAGCTAAGCAAATCTAAAACAGCTCAAAATAGTAAGACATTGCAATCTACTGTTTTTAAGCATAGATATCAAATATAAAACAGTGGTATATAATATAATCAGAATATTTCTTAGATTTGTTAAAAATAAAGAGAAATTGGACCCTTCGACTTTTCATTCCTCAGGATGTCTAATTTAAAACTAACTGCTAGATCAGGGAATGAGAAAACAAGGGTTACACTTAAATATCTACAATGGCTTCATTTTTTTTTTTAGTTTTTTGTTGATTTGGGAGCTTTGGTATTTGATTTTTCTGAGACTGAGTCTCAGGTCAGGATAGCCTCCACCTTAGCTTCCCAAATGCTGGTGTTACAGGTGCGTGCCACCAAGTTCTCCCTAGTTCCATGTTTCTGGAAGATTTCCCTTTCATCACACTGAAGCCTGAACAAACCCAGATCTCAGTAATTACAGAGAGGGACTTCAGTTCTACATTAACAAAACACCAATCAGCTGGCTTAGTAAAGTGGTGGTGGTTGTAGGTTCTCTTCCAAGATCCATGACGTCTGAATATCTGGCTAGGTTTCCAGTACCAGGCATGATTTCCATCTTGAGTGTGTCTTAAATCCAATAAAGTTGTTGGTTACCATCAAGGTACATGAACAATTACTGCAACCCTTAGGGCTATAATGCCATGCTGATCATCATTGTGGTTTATAGGTGTCATAATGGGGTAAGATGGCTGATTTCGTCCCTCTTTTGGATGTTTGCATGGAGCTTTCTGCTACCATAAAAGCTAGTCCTTAGGGAAGAGGCATTCAGGTCAGAAAACTAGCAAAGGGGCCTCTGAGCCCTGTATCTGAAGTGCATGGTGTCTTCTTCAATAGGGACCTAGCTCCACCTGTGTGAGGCTACCAAGAGTAATAGCAATAGACTATAATGTTTTAAACAACCCTGGGTTTCTCATGCTTGGTGTTGGATTTCTGTTAGGTCGTCTAGGGCTTTGGGGGAAAACACTGTCAACTCAGATGTTAAATTTTCATTTAAACTATATATGAACATTTATACACCAACTTCTGTATACTACAGTTTTTTTTTGTTGTTTAGTGTTTTTTTTTGTTTGTTTTTGTTTTTTTTTTTTAGGTTGATGGTTAATAATATGATTCCTTGTGGACTTTTCACATCCTTACTCTCTTCCCTCTTTCTTCCGAATTTCTCTCCTCTACTTCCCTAATTAGCGGAGTCAGAAAGATTCTAAAAGCCAGCAGAACAGGGAGTTTGCTGTGAGACTGTGTCTCCTAGAATTGTCAGAAGTTACACCCACATAGTTTCACCACATGGCTGCCTGAACATAAGTTGAACAAGGCTGATGTCAATAGATATGCAAACATGAAGAAGGTGGAAACTCACGAGGCCTCAACACTGCACAAAGAACTGCAGACAACTAAGGAACGCTAAAAGCAGGAGAAACAGTCTTCCCCAGGAAGACTACTGATTGGCTACCCAATACCAAATGGTCAGCCCTGAAAACATATAAGGCTGAGCAAGTTGTAGTTGATATCTATCTATCTATCTATCTATCTATCTATCCATCTATCCATCCACACACTCATATATATATAACCACAAGTAAAGAAAAAAGAGGCCATGAATTTGAAAAAAATCAAGGTGGTAGTACATGAGAGGGCTTGGATGAAATATAAGGGAGATTTGGAGGTAGTAAAGAGAAAGAGAAATGATATATTATAATCTCAAAAAATTAAGATTAAAAAAAACATGTAGTGGCTCTTATTTGGGTAATGAATACTAAATTTTCTAAGCGCCACAACCTATATTTTACTAAGCTATACAATCTCCAATTATAATTAAATGAGTCTATTCCTTAGCAATTAAATATTAGGAAATAAGAGTTAACCAAAGGTAAATGTAAATACTTGAATATAATCGAAGTAAATTACTGGTAAGTTTCAAATTCAAAGCTTATTTCACATTACAGAATTCCTTAGTTAAACAAGATTCATGAACTGATTTTATGCATAAATATCTAAAACTAAAACCAAAAGTTCAACTACCTTTGGTTGTTGAACCTACCAGCCATCAAATCAGCAAAAATTTCCTTACCTTCTTAAATGCCTCAGGCATACACCGCTCCATAAATCTTTTGCAGTTCTCATCAGACTCTGAAAGACCTTGGTTAGATAAATAAGAGGATATAACGTATGTAGATTTCAAGTGCTCTTTGTGGACATTGTATATTTGTTACAAATTCTTACATACAGATCTTTATCACAAAACCTTGTTTCTCAAGCAATTACTAAAAGCATGCAGACATTCTGCTACAGTAGCAGGCTGATAAATAATCATAGCATTCAACTAGACACTAATTAAAACTGAAATGGTTGGTCTTATGTCTCCATGTCACAATAACTTACGTGACCTGATGAGATAAAACAGCAGCAGCTACTTACTAGCCACTAATTGCTTAAACAGCCATTTATATAAACATATTTGAAACAAATGCCCCAATTACTTTTCTTTTCTAAAACATGTAGATGAACTCTATGAAAATAAAACAAAGAACTGTCTCACACAATACACATAGCAAGTAATAAATGCTAAGTGAATGAAAGAACCTACTGTAAAAGTTATTCAGAGGAAGAATGCATTGTGTTTTAAATATTTATTTACATTTATTTACTGTGGGGGTGGGGTGATGCATGTAAGTGGAGGTTGGGGAAAAACTGACAGGAATAGGTTCTCTCCTTACACCATCAGGTTGTTAGACTTGGAGGCAAGTATGTTTACTAACTGAGACTACTAACTTCCTGGGTCTGAAATGCTTAAACTTAATAATGAATTATATCACTGGGAATACTGATAAACAATTCTATTTTTAGAACTCCCCAGAACTGCTGCCTAGCATTCTAATAGACTCTTAAAAAATACCAGTGTCAGGAAATCAATACTAAATGGACCATAGAAGTCTATTGGGATTAAATCTAAGACTAGTCATAATATTTCCTTTGAGGCATCTTACATTTAATCATGATTAGCAAACTATGCATTCTTCTCTCGTCTCCTTCCCCACTTTCTTCCCATTCTCAGGGACCTGGCCTCACATATGCTAGGGGAATACATTGCCAGAATTCTTCCTATTCTAAAAAAACAAGAAAGAAAAGAAAGAAAGAAAGAAAGAAAGAAAGAAAGAAAGAAAGAAAGAAAGAAAAAGAAGGAAGGAAGGAAGGAAGGAGCCCTGAATTGAGCCCAAATTGAAAATGCTCCAAGCTTCTAGGAAAAAGTTAATTTTTGTCTCTACAAAGCTTCTCAATTCTATTACAAATAATCTTATACTCTACTAGAATTGAAACAAACAGCTGGTTTAAAGCTTTTATCCCACAGGGCATGACAGAGACTGAGAAAATAAATGGTCTGACCAAAATCACACAGACAATGATAGACACAAAGATGAAACTTTGTGTTCTGTAACAAACATCTGAGGTATGAAAGTGAAAGCTTACCAAGTCTTGCTAAGTAGGTAGAAGCCAACAGACATTTGCCTAGTGATTCTTCCCGCTTGTATGGGATAGACCAATGATCAGTCAAAACACGGCTTTCCAATTCATACAAATTTGTTGTAGGGAATTCAATTCCTTCCCCTGAGCAATTTCCATTTTCATCATTCTTCTGAGAAAAAAGGGACAAGTATAAAAACGAACACTCTAATTAGTGACCCCTCCAAATAGTCATAATTTAACACAACAGATACTTATTGGTAAGTTCCTATACAAATAGTGTGGGTTTGTCTTTCACAAAACTACAACTTCACCAAACAGCAGAAATTCTCAACTTACCATTCTGATATCTCTACTCACTCTCAAAGGTTATCATTCTCTTCAAAAATGAATTCTCATTTTCTCATTATAAAATATTAAAACTACCACCATCATCAGCCACACTGCTCTCTAACTTTGAGGATAAACTTGAAGGAGGCATCCAATCTATTTTCATCTCCTTACCTGACAAAAATTACTAATAATAGCACAATCAGGATCTCAGAGTCTTTACTCCCCACAATCACTGCTATTATTACTGAACTTTACATTTACCTACCTTTAAACTAATGACCATGTTTCAATCTTTTCCCAATACTTAGCAGGAATATTTGATTTTCTGCCTAACCTTCCTCTTAACTAGATTTTCTTCCCTTACCTATGCTTACCTGTGGGTGTGGTTCCTCCTATTGGGCCTCTCCTTCTGCACACCTTCCCCTTCTTAAGCTTCAACTATGGGTCAAGCCTCAGTGCTGAGCTCTGTTTTCTGTCCCAGGTAATCTTGGTGATTTTTCTGCTCTCCTCATCTCAATTATGACCCACAGACAACTCATAAACTTCTTTCAGTTTATAAAGTTTTAAATGTGTGTGTGTGTGTGTGTGTGTGTGTGTGTGTGTGTGTGTGTGTGTGTGTTGATTAAGTGCATGACCATGTGGGTGCCCAAGGAGGACAGAAGAGGACACTGGATTCCCCTGGAGACAGGTTGTCATGGTACTCCCACTGTGGGTGGTAGGAAATGAACTCTGGTCTTCTGCAAGGGCAGCAAGTACTCTTTAACAGCAGAACTTTCTCACCATCCTCAGATGATTCATAAATTTCTATCCCCAGCATAGATCACTCTTCTGACCTGTAGGCTCACAAAGGCAGAGGCCTATTTAACATTTCCAATTCAGTATGTGTCACAAACCGAGTACACATGCTTCTCCTTAATTCCAGTTCATTTCTCCTGTTTTCCATCCTGGCAAATGACATACTTGTCTGGCAGCATATCAGAATCCACAAGACCATACTTAACACTTTGTTTTCTAATCCCCATCCTCAAGAACTAGTGATTATTCCTAAATTCCTTCATGACTCTCAAATCCATGCACCTCCATCTTCATAGCCACCTCCTAGCCAACTTTACTCCTAGATTATTTTACATGCTTCCTAATGTGGGGGGAGAAGAAACAGACCACCCCATACAGCTTGCCACAATGATCTTAGAAAACACAAATCTAATGTTAACCCCCAAATTCTTAATATCCTTAAAATAATTTTTTTTTTAATGTTCTACAAAGCCTTGTGAATGACCTATCTCCCTCTCCAGCTTTCTGTACTCTAGTTTCTCTAGGACCTACCAGCTTCTTGAGAAGCACAACACAGTCATACTTCTGGTATTACCAAAGTGCTACTCTCTTGATCAGAAAATGACAGTTATTTCCCTTGGCCTTGAAGTGGGGTGAGACTTTGTATCTCTGGCTTGATGTCCAAGCCTTAACCTCCTGGGTCTCTCTGGAATAGTCCCCTGGACTCTTTTGTTACCAAGATACTATGTACTGAGGAAATCCAGGATAAATGAAGAGGTCACCTATGTGTGCCCTGTCCAATAGATTCACTTGGGCCCCACCAGACAGTCAGGGAAGGAGCTTTAAGATTCCCAATTCTAGCCATTGTCTTCAGGCTTAAGTCTTCCAGTTGACATTCCAGATGTCATCGGGCAGAGATACACTGTTTAGGGGGTGGGGGACAAGTAGTCTAAGGCTGTTTCCTGCAGAACCAGTGTGCACACAACGCTGTTTCATGCTGAGACTCCTAACTCCTCTTTGTCCTCTTAAACCCACTTGGCTCCTATTTACACTTAATTCTTTCAGAGAAAGCTCTCAAAGTTCTAAATGAGGCTAAATTTCACCCCAAAATTTACTCTTCCCATTCTGAAGCACTCCCTCATAGCATTACTCACAAATGTAATTTGACATTTATTTAAGGGTTTTGTTTGATTTTTTTGAGACTGAGTCTCACTAGGAAGCTCTGACTGTCCTTAAACTCAAAGACATCCATCCATCCATTTGCCTCTGTCTCTCAAGTGCTGGGAATCGAGGCATGTGCCACCATTGCCAGGCTCATTTATGATTTATGTTTGCCCCCCCCCCCAAGACCAAGTTCCATTATGGCACAGTCCTTACTTAGTTTTGATCACCTTTTATCTCTAGAGACTATTGCCTAAGTCAAACCGGTCCATGATGAATACTGCTAAATGGGAATTAGCCAATGCAAACAAAGATGCAACAGGCTGAGAGATAGTTTCCACCATGCTAACACATAAGAAAACAATCAGAACCCCAGCTGTCTAAAACATGCTAGGTTTTTTAAAACCTACTTTCAATCACTCCATAATTCACCCATGACAAAATAATGAAACCAATAACACTATAACTTCAAAAGAAAAAAAAAAAAAACCCAGTATTTTAAGACAGAAATGATAAAGCACAAGGAAATTATTTTCAAATTCCATATTAATGATATCTAAAGGAATCTGTTTTTCAGGTTTAGGGCTGAACTGGTATGACAGTAAGTGGAAAAGCAGGGAGGCAACTAGGTATAAAAGAAAACATAAATTGGGCAGCTAAAATTGAGGGTGATGAGTTAAACAGACGAGAATCGTAATAAAAAAAAAAACAAAAACTGGGTGTGATGGTGCACACTTATAATCCCAGCACTCTGAAGAGATGGTGATGGATCTCTGTGAGTTCAGTCATCCTGGTCTACACAGGGGGCTCCAAGTATAGCCAGGTAGCCAGGGAAACTACAGAGACTGTCTTAGAGAGAGAGCCAGAGAGAGCCAAAGCCAGAAGACAAAAAAAGGGGGGGGGCAGATAGGGAAAATACTATTCATGTTGTGTAACACCTCAAAAATATACAATATATAAGTACTGTAAAGAAATATAAGTTTTTCTTAAAGGAACCTGAGGTAATATATCAAATCATAGATGAAATCACATAATGGGGAAAGATTAAAAGAAAAATCCTCAATCTTTAATGTCTTCATTATTACAGGATGAATATTCAAGTCCTCACTCTAATGGAAATACACAGCTGTCCCTCAGTATCACCAGGAAACCCCACTCCTATGGATGCTCATGACTTTTACAGAAAATGGTGTTCTAATTGTATATAATTCACACATACCTTCCCATAAGCCTGTAATCATCTCTAGATTATTATACTACCTGGTAACAATGTTCATGCTATATAAAATTTACTGTTTTGTATTGCTTAGAGACAAGTGACAACAAAATAAACCTGTACATGTTCAGTACAGACACAATTCTTTTTCAAGAATTTTTGGTCTGTGGATGGTTGACTCCATGAAGAAGGCCTCTGCTATGAAAGTGAAAAGAAAGCCCTACATGGTGGTGCACACCTTTAATCCAGCACTTGGGAGGCAGAGACAAGTGGTTCTCCGAGCTCAAGGCCAGCCCAGCCTACATGAGGGAGTTCCAGGACAGCCCAGGCTACACAGAGAAACCCTGTTTCAGCAGGGGTAGTAAAAAGAAAATCCACAGAATGGGAGAAGTATTTGAAATTAAGAAAAGGTACTTAATTCTAGAATACAAAAGAACTTAGAACTTATTACTCAATTTAAAAAAAAAGGCAAAGGATTAAGTAGATGTTTCTAAAAAGAGAACATAAAAAGATATTCACCATCGTTTAGTCATTAGAAAAATGCAAATCAAACCCACAAAATATTACTGTACCACATGACTTAGGGCAGCCAAAAATAGGTAGTAATCAGTATTGGTGAGGATGTAGAAAACTGGAACCATCATATATTGCTAGTGATATCATAAAATGGTGGAGTCACTTTTGCAAGATAATCTGAAAATTTCCCAAAGAGCAATTGTTATTACCAAAAGACATAATCTCCTTCCCTTGTTATGTATCTAAAGGAAATGGAAACATACAAAAACAGCACAAATGTTTACAGGAGCATTATTAAAAGGTGGGAACTTCCAAATGTGCATCAAAACTCATAATTTAATCTAAAAATAAAAACATGGATATGTTACAATATGAATGAACTTCAAACATTATGCTAAATCAAAGATGTCTGAGATGTACATCCATATACTTTAAAACTCTGCTTCTATGAAATGTCTACAAGAGGCAAATCCATTGCCATACATGCCAGGTTAGTGGCTGGCAGTGGATGGAGAGGAAGGAAGGTGAGTAACTGATAGTGAGTACTATAGACGTGATGTTTCTCTTTTGGGTGATGACAATACTCTGAAGCAGTTGTGATGGTCCACACAGCTCTGTGCACAGATACTTTAATAGGAAAACTTTATGGCATGTGAATTATATCTCAATAAAATCATTAGGAGAGCAACAAATTAAGAGTAGTGATTACAGGCCCTCAATGAAGAAGAATTTCAAAACAGAGTTGAACTTTATGACCTGTAATATAATACCTATGACCAGCGAGACAGTTTTAAAATAGCATTTCAAAAACAGTAATTAGGGTCTGACTGGTGAAAATAGCATGCAACCTGCAAAGCAGTTAACATTTTTAGTTTTAAAAAAGAGCGAAGGGGCTAGAGATGGCTCAGAAGTTAAGAGCACTAGCTGCTCTTCCGGAGGAACCAGGTTCAATTCCTAGCACCCACATGGCAGCTCAAACTGTCTGTAAACTTAAGTTCCAGGAGATCCAACACCCTCCCCCCATATATATGCAAGCAATATATCAATGTAAATAAAAGTAAATTATTTTTTAAAAAGAGGGGAATAAGGAGAGTTAGGGTGCATACATATGATCAAGATATACTATGTATGTATGAAATTGTCAAAGAATAAAAGATACTATTTCTTTCAAG